AACTGTGATGAGCTCTTTTTGCCAGATTTATATTAAATAATAACTGCATTTATAGTGTGGCCAGCCTTAGTGTATAGAATTTAAGGTAGTTTAACCATAACAATGAAATTTATATTAATTTTAAACAATTACACTATGTACCTTCAAGAATAGGATTAAATTTTCTGAAATTTGTACTGTACTCCAGTTAAAATTTATAAAAGAATCTAAGGCTGGGCACAGTGGCTCATGCTTGTAACCCCAGCAATTTGGGAGGCCGAGGCAGGAGGATCACTTGAGGCCAGGAGGTCAAGACCAGCTTGGGCAGCACAGCAATACCCTCAACTCTCCCCCCAAAAATAATTTTAAAAATTAGCCAGGCATTGTGGTGCATACCCTGTAGTCCTAGCTACTTGGGAGGCTGAGGCAGGAGGATTGCTTGAGACCAGAAGTTTGAGGCTGAAGTGAGCTCTGCTCTCCAGCCTGGATGTCTCTTAAATTAAAAAAAAAAAAAAAAGTCTATTTACTGCATTTCTAGTCTTTTACATTTGATCATAGTTCTATGACATGTAAACTTTTTCAAGAAAGCCATGCAAAGTAATTTAGATCATCACTTCTTAAACTTGTGACTTGTGATATTCTTACTACTCCACAGAAAATTATTTAAATTTTACTGTAACAGAATTCACTAGAATTATAATCTAAATTAGTTATATTAATTTGTGGATTAAGTTCTTTTGAAACTTAGGATCCCTGATAATTTCAAAATTACTTCTTTTGGTTAAACTGTAATATAATAATACATTTATCTTTATAAAAAACTATTTAAAGAAATGTTTGGTTAATCTTTTCCTTGGGTATACAATGAAATAGGTAGCCAGACTAATACTTCTTTATTTTTTATTGGCTTATTTGATGAACTTTCGTACTTTTAAAAACTTTAATCTTCTTTCATTGTAGGGAATAATGTTTCCATAAATATAGAGGTAGACCCCAGGCATCCTACTATGCTTCCTGAGTGTTGCTTTCTTGGAGCTGACCATGGTATGAGATCTCACATTTAAATTTTTTTTAGCAGAATCAAAATCCTTTCCTACCACGATTAAAATATAACTTGAAAATATTAATGTATTAATGGTAATTCTTTTAAATGAAAATGTCTCAACATTCTATACTGTATACTTTTTTGTTTTTTAATATATAATTTAGGTTTTCTAATCAAGTAGTTAAGAAATAAGTTCTTTACCAAATGTAGCTTTATAAAATGAAAGCAGTAAACTTTAAGTTATTAAACTTTTTTTTGTTTTTTTAAATATCTGAAGTGGTAAAACCCCTGGGAATTAAGCTGAGCAGGAACATACATTTGTGGTAGGTACCTTGGCAATATAATTGTTACTTTAATATGATTTAACAAACTTAATAGCAGAACTTTTTTTTTCATTGCTTTCAGGGATCCAGAAAATAGTCTCTTACAAAATTTGAAAGATGTTTTAGAAATTGATTTTCCAGCTCGTGCTATCCTGGAAAAATCTGTAAGTTTTATCAGTGCTTTGATATTCTAGACAGCATTGCATAATGAAATTTAAATGCTGCTTTCAGAGAAAAATGAGTCAGAAAAGTCAAGGAATTCAAAGAATGTTATAATACAAACTCTGAACTACAAGTAACAGTTGTGTCAAAGAACTTGTTAGCCTTTGAGTTAGTTGGTGTTTATAAGTACAGTCATCCCTTGGTATATGCTGGGGAGATTGGTTCTAGGATCACCTGCGAATAACAAAATCCACACATACTCACATTCCACAGTCGCCCTGCAGAACCCCCATATATGCAGCTTTCACGTATATGTGGGTTTCACATCCTGCCAATCCTGTATTTTTGATATGTGTTTGATTGAAAACAATCCATGAATAAGGGAGTCCACGCAGTTCAAACCCCTGTTGTTCATAGGTCAGCTGTATACTTTTCATGGTCTTCAGCAGTGGTTAATGATAGATACTTAATAATAAGGAAAAAGGTCCAAAGTAGCTAATGAGATGTTTGGATTTTCTACACTATCTGATGGCTGAAATAAAATTCTGATTAGTTTGATATAAGCATTTCTGAAGGATGGTAGTACAGTTTCACAAAATTGAATAGAGACTGTTACATCGCAAAAATGATAGAATTGATTTTTGACACAGTTGCTGAAGTTGCAGACTACTAAGTAGTGGTAATGTTTTTCCCTTTCCTTTAGTTACAGAATTTCACAGTTTACTAATCATTAGTTAATGTCAATTCCTATCTTTACATACTACAGGGACATTATATTGATGTATATCTGTGTATATTTATTGAATGAAAAGGAAATGCTCTTTGTTCAAATAGCTTTGCTTGTTGCTAGTGATGTGTTTCCTGTAATACAGCAATAGTTACCTTTATAAAAATTGTTAATATATTTATAAAATTTTAGTATTGTATCATTATTCATTCTTCCTATTCTCACCTTGTACATTTTAACCTTGCTCATCATCCATGAAACCTTGCCCACAGCCGGCATTCACAGTCCGCACGATAGTTTGTGCTGTGCATTGATGACGAATCTGTTTTGCTCTTGTGTGATGAAGAAAGCTTTAAAGCACTGAAAGCTTGTTTTACTTTACAGGCAGCTTTACTTGTAATGTATATCAGAATAGGTAACACATACATATATGTTTTCATTATGTTATTTTTAAATATTCACAATTTTATTTTGATAAATGAAGAATTAGAAGTCATATCATGGCTGTCGGCTAAAGTCGCTGTGCGTGTTCACCTGTGGCTATCGACTATAGTCGATGCTGGTACCAAAGTGGTTAAAAACACATGCTGTATTGCGTATTTCACAATAGCTAGAAGAAAGGAATTGTAATGTTCCCAACACAAGATAAATGGTTGAGGTGATGAATATCACAATTATCTTGATTTGATCATTACACATTGTATACATGTATCAAAATATCCCATGTACTCCCAAAATATTTACAAGTATATCAATAAAAAATAATAAAGTAAAAACACACATGTGCTTACAACTATTTTTCTTTTAAAGGATTTTACTATGGATTGTGGAATTTGTTATGCTTATCAGCTTGATGGTGCCATTCCTGATCAAGTGTGTGATAATTCCCAGTGTGGACAACCTTTCCATCAAATATGCTTATATGAGGTAAAAAAATAAAAAGTAAGAATTTTCTGAGCTAACACAACATAGGTAGTATGCATATTCAAAATACACAGAATTTAAAATCTGCTGAAGTCAATAGTGATCCCCTTTTGCCATTAATGCTTTTTTAGTTTATTCCAGATGCTCATGTGCTTGATATTTTTCATCATAGTTACTAATGAGTAAAGAAATGTCCTCAAGTATCCAAGAAGGGGGAAAATCTATCCCAAATATATTCATGGACTAACTTATTGACACATAAGTTAAATTGATGGTACACTGGAATTTTTCTGTAAATATCTCATGTTACCACAGTGCAAACTATAGAATCATCTATGTGGGGGTGGTGGTAGCAATAATGTGAAAAGGAATTAGCAATTATGCAGTATCTTATTACTTTTCAAGATACATTTATAAGTATAGAATAAATGCAATAATCCTACTGCAAAAAATGCCTTTTGTGATTTGAACATTTACTCAGGCAGTGCCATTAACTGTTTATTTACTATATGTGAAGTCTGCTTTCATTCCTATCTTTAGTCATTTGCTCTCTATAGCACTCATCTTAGGGCACAGTTGATACAAGATTAACTCTGTTCATCTATATACAAAACACCTTGCAGGTGTATGCTTTTGGTGTCTTCTGTAATATCACCTCTTTACTTTTGTGATTAGAGTTAGCAGTTGGTACTATCTGTACTTTAGAATGTCTTTATTAAGATATATTCTCTTTTTTAAGCCAATTACCTTGAAAATGTCTGGGAGGAAACCCTGAAACAAAAACTTAGGGAGAGATATCAAATTTACCTTATATGATCTCATAAAATATCATGTCTAATTACAGAATACACTAAGGAACATGTGCTTTCTTTTGTAGTAATGAATATTCATTTAATTTTTTTAGAATTGATTGCCTCATGTTTGTAATCAATGGATTGAGAATTAACCCACTGTTAGTGATTAAGACTGAACTAAAACCTAAATTTTCAGAAGCCTATGGTATCTTTTACTGTAGGGGTTCTTAATTTGTGAATTAGGGAAGGTCTGTGAACCCCAGGAACTTGTTATGCATTATTTTTTTGTATATCTGTGTTGAGGGTAGAGAAAGGGCATAACTTTCATGACATTTTTAAAGGGGCCCATAATTTCGTTATAAACCAGTGGTTTAGATCTCAAATTCCATGTTGGTTTCCCCTTGTTATTCAGCATACTATCATCTGGTATTGGTTCAGGAAATATATTCCTTAGTCTTACAAAACAAAATTAAGAAAATAAATCTAGAATAAAAATAGAGTGTACTTAGAAAGGAAATGACATTTAGAGTTTTAATTTAATTATACTGACATTGTTCCTGTATCTTTTTAAAATCTTCAGTGGTTGAGAGGACTACTAACTAGTAGACAGAGCTTTAACATCATATTTGGTGAATGTCCATATTGTAGTAAGGTAAGCAAATTGTTAAATCACATTTCAGAAAATGTGTCTAGCTTTTAGTAACGTGTTTTATAAGGTAGACTTCTATATAGTATATCAGTTTATCTAGAACCTTTGAAACATGTTGTTTTCTGTCTTTTGAAAAATAGAAGTTTTCTGTAAAATAAACTGTCCTTAGTATTAATACTTTAATTTACACATTTTCTCTTGATAAAAAAATTAAACTCCTTTTCTAGATTTCCTAGATGATATAAACTTTAGAAAAGTATTTTCCAAACTAATATAAGGTAATTTTATATTTTAGAATGTCTTTAGTAACATATACTCTCTTTTTTAAGCCAATTACCTTGAAAATGTCTGGGAGGAAACCCTGAAACAAAAATGTAACATTTCCATGAAGCACTGGAAGCTTTAAAGATTATTAAAAGGATATTATTTGCTATCTTCAGAGAAAATATAAAGCAAGACATACTAACACCAAAAGGACAAGTATGGTGAAGCCATAATAATATACATCTGACTTTGTCTCTTCACTAAGAGTAAACTGGGAAATTGTAGGCCAGAGCCCTGTAGAACTTTCTAAGTCTGTACTTAATACACTTGTGGGAGTGTATTTATACCAAGATGGAGATCTTGACTTGTTGAATACATCTGGACTGGGAAAATCCTGAGGAGGTTCATAAAATGAATTTGGGAATTGCACATAGCTGAATTTTTGTGGGACATAGTTTACTTCATTTGGAAGTTCTTGAGACTCTTGATATTTTTGTCTTCTCCTTGTGCTTTCCTATGGAAAAAATACATATACAGTTATTAGATTTATTATTTTGTATATTCTGCTAAATAAAATTTGTTATACAAGATCAAGTTTTTGTGTTTATTTTTCCCGAGAAGTAATTTTTAGGTAAAGATCTTGGATTTTGGCCTAGAGATGGTGGCTCACACCTATAATCCTAGCACTCTGGGAGGCCGAGGCAGGAGGACTGCTTGACCTCGGTAGTTCAAGACCAACCTGAGCATGGCCCCCATCTCTACCAAAAATAGAAAAATTAGCTGGGCATCTTGGCACATGCCTGTAGTCCCAGCTACTCAGGAGGCTGATGCAGGAGGATCACTTGAGCCCAGGAGTTTGAGGTTGCAGCGAGCTATGGTGATGCCATTGCACTCTACCCAGGGCAACAGAGGAAAACTCTCAGGAAAATAAAAATAATTTAAAACTTACAAATTACCTACTGGCATCCTACTGGCTAACTTGAGTGGTTCTTTTTTAAACCATATAAGTGGGCCATCTCTTAAATTATACTCTAGGATATAATACGGAAAGTGAATTGTCTTGGCAAGACCAAAAAATTGGGCTTAATCTTATTAGAGTAAGATAGTCATAATTAGAAAGCTTTTGGCTATTAGTGTGATTCTTAACCTTTGGTATATACTTTGGCAACTTATAGTGAGTAAAGGACAAGGCTATAAACAGCCAAAGAAAACTGCCTCAGGCGTGGGTACAGCATCATGTATGTCTCTTGGAAATCCCTAGCTACAGGCCAACCACTGTAGACGATAGATATTAACTGGTTACTTATATGCAAATTTCAGAAGCTGCTTTAGTGTTTTTATCATTATTCCTGTCAGCCTAAGTCCCAGGAATCAGTTTTCTGCTCACCACTGTAACTGGCTGCAAGTTAAGAGTAGTTCTAGTTTCACTTTGGTGGTCTGTGGCACAAATGGTACTCTCCTTGTACCATTTTATCAAGTATCTTAGAGGAAGGAAAATTTATAAAACGAAGTATTTTAATTTTGCTCACTGTTAGTTTCATCCAGAAACATGTGATGTTGCAACACCATCATTCAGGGTAACGATTACTCCCTCAACCTCTAAATTGCTACCCTTCAAATGTCCTTCCTCCCCACCAAAAGTCACTTTCCGGATACAGTTTTAGAAGCATCAAAAAGGATTCCTACAAATGATACATAAAACAAAAGATGTCTGAAGGCTCTTTAGCCTTCCTATTAAAAAGAAATAAATTACTTGAGAATCAGGTACCTAACTTTAAATTACTCTTTGCTGTCTGAGCTAACAAAGTCATATTAATGCAGTTTTCCTGAAGTTTGTCATCTTTATTCACCAAAGGCAAAAGAAGTGAATAATTATTCCAGTGGGCCCATAAAACATTTTCCCACAAAGAAAAAGAATTATGCCATCAAATCATATATTTCTAAAGGATAAGCTAACTTAATATAACTTACATGTGGAAGGTGGAGAAATATCTCCACCTAGGTAAGAACAGAAGTCAAGCTACTACAATTTCCAGAATCATCTACTAGGTAACACCTTGTCTCTCTTTAAGCAACAACAAATGGCATCAAATGGGAAGACACTCATCAAGGAATTTAACCATCAGCTGTCCAGTATACTGAGAAGTATGATTGGGAAAGAATCTATAACAGGAATAGGCAAAATCTGGCTCATTGGCCAGTTGCCTGTTTTGTGAATAAAGTTTTATTGGAATACAGTTACACCCATTTGTTTTTGTATTGTCTATGGCTGCTTTTGCACTGCAGTGGTTGAGTTGAATAGTTTACACAAAAACCATGTGAACTCTAAGCCTCAAGTATTTTGCCTGGCCCTTTAAGAAAAACTTTGCTGGCCTCTGGTCTATGGCATTGTTTTATGAACTTTAGAAAACATACAGATCATCATATCTTGTTAAAATACAGATCTCTTTCAAAAGGTCTGGGTTGAGACCTGAGATTCTGTGTTTCTAAGAAGCTCCAGATGATGCCAGTATAGCTGGTTTGCACACTACACTTACACGATGCAATGATCTATTCTACCAGAACATCCCCGGTTCTCAGCCTGGGATTATTTGGCTCACGATGACATTTAGCAATTTCTGGACATTTGGGTTATCACACTGGAAGGCAGTAATATTGGCAGCTAGTGGATAAATACTAGGAGTGCTGCTAAACATCCTACAACACACAGGAAAGTTTCCCCAACAAATAACCCAGCCCAAGGTGCCAATAGTGCTGCTGTCAAGAAACTCTGCAGGGCAGTTACTAACCTTTACACATTAGAATCAACTGGGAAGCTGTGAAAAATATCAATACCACTTCTTTTGGCCATGAATAATGGTTATCACAGACTTCCCCTCCTGCTGTAAAAGCCCATGAAATAAATATAAAACAATAAAATCAGACAACATATATGGAATAACTTATAAGGTGCCTAAAACAAACGAGGCTATGATACTTGAGGAAACAAGAATAACCTGGACCTCAGAAAGGCCACGTTTAAGATTATACAAGGCTATTATACATAAGACCCAGGAAATGGGACCTATAACCAGGAGAAAAAAATAAGACTCAGAGATAACCCAGATAGAATTATCAAATAAGGACTATAAAACATCTACATCAATGTTCAAGGAATTAAAGGAAAAGTTGAGCATAATGAATGAACAGATGGGGAAATCTCAGCAGAGAAATGAGAAATATAATGTAGTTCTGGAACTGAAAAATACAATGTAAAATGAAAAATTCATTGGCTAGGTTTTATCAGCTGATTTGACGATCAACTAGAGGTCACACAAAAGAAAATACTCAAACTGATGTACAGCAAGACAAAAGACTGATTTAAAAAATAGATTGTGCCCCAGTTGTCTGTGAAAAAGGTAAAGCATCCTAATATACATGTATCTGAATCTCAGAAGAAGAGGCATTAAGGCAGGAAACAAATTGATGAAATCATAGCTGAAAACTTTTCTAAATTGATGACAAATATCATAGACAAAAGAAACTCAATGACCCCACAGTGTAATAAACAAAGACAACGATCCTTAGAAAACCAAAGATAAAAAGCAAAAGCAGCCAGAGAGAGATACATTATATACAGGGTCAATAATAAGAGTAAGTGCTAACCTCTTATCAGAAAAAAACCCAAGATGACAGGGTAAAAACATCTTTAAAGTTCTGAAAGAGAAATTTCATACTCAATGAAGGCTTCAAAATAAAGTGAGGGGCATCTAGTTTCAGACAAAACAGAGTAAGTACATTCCACCCTATTCCTCCTGCTAATTACAACTAAAGACTTTTGACAAAAAGCAACTATCAGAACACTCTGAAAGTTGTAGAAAAGGCAGACTGGCTAGGGACCTCAGGACACAAGGAATTACCTACTCATGAATCCCCACCCTCCTTTTCATTTTGGTGCTTCCTATGTATCCCAGTCTGGGCCATAAAGCAGCCTGGAAACAGCAATATACACAGGGGGAAAAAAAAAGAAGAAAAGGCCCAAGAAAAGCCTGCTTTATCTAACCAATGGCCCTGGGGGAGGGCAGGTCTACAGGACAGAATCCTTTTGACTATACCTGCTGTACTCTAAACACCATGAAAGAAGCTGTACCTTTCCCTTTTCTCTCCAAGTGCTATGAAAACTGTGGGGTGGATTATTGTCAACTGTCACCACCCTGCACTAACCAAGGAGGACACCTGCCCTTCCCCATCAAGCACTCTAGAGACTGAAGTGGAGCCCTGTTGACCATCCCTGTGCTAATAAGGTAGTAACCTATCCTACCTACCAGTGTTAAGGAAATTTTGAGACAGGTCTATCAACCATTCCCAGCCTGAGGTGGCCTCCCTCCCTCCTTCCCTACCAGGTGCTACAGAGACTATAGGGTAGAGCCTTGTACACTATCCCTCTCTGCACCAACACAAGCAAAAGTAGTGCCTCTTTTCTTCCCACAGGACACTGTACAGAGACTGCAGTAGAGTCCAACCAACGATTCCCACCCTGCACTAAGCAAACATCAGCAGATAGACAGCACACCTCTACTTCCCATTGCCTCAAAGACTGTGGAAAGGAGCTTGCCCTTAATTATTCCTGCTGTGCACTAAACAAACAGCAAATAGGCAGCACCTTACACCTTTCTAACTAGAAAGCCCTGTTCTTAGTAAATCATAGAACTACCAGAGAGAAAAGCAGCAGGGATAAAGAAGAAATTAATAACACCACAAACCAATGGGATCTTAAGTGATATTTATAAAACACTCTACTCCCAAACAGAAAAATACATGTTCTTTTCAACTGTAACTCAAATTTTCACCAGATAAACCATATCCTGGGTCACAAAACAAACACTAAAATATTTATGTTCTTAGACCATAATATAATCAAACTAGAAATCAGTATCATAAAGATAACAAAAATCTTTAAACACTTGAAAATTAAACAACATATTTCTAAATAATTAAGGTATTAAAAGAAGTCTTAAATATTTTGAACTGAAATAAAAATACAGTATTTACAGAGATTTACAGGATGCAGTTAAAATGGTGGTTAGCACATTTATAACATGGAATGCTTACATTAGAAAAAATGAACGGTTCAAATCAATAACCTAAGTTTCTACCTAAACTAGAAAAAAAGGAAGAAATAAACCAAAGTCGAGGTGAAGGAAAGGAATAATAGAAAAATCTCCAAACACTTGAAAATTTAAAGAGATCCTCTGAATGGGTCAGAGACTCCAGGGAAATTAAAAAATATATTGAACTGAATGAAAATGAAAATCCAACATATCAAAATATGTGGGACAAAGCTAATGTCATGCTAGAAGGGAAATTTATAATAACTTCTATTAGAAAAGAGGAATAGTCTAAATATAAGAATCTAAGTTTCTACCTCAAGAAACCAGAAAAAGAAATGACAAGTATGTGACATAATGGATTTGTTAATTAGTGTGATTTAATCATTCTGCAATGTAAACACATATCAAAACATTACATTGTACC